ATAAAGGATGATAATTCTTAATTTCATATTTGATGACTACCCTTTTCATAGAGAATGATGATTCTTATTTGATGCACATCTTTTATTGTTTATATGGATATAAATTATCTGCATGTTTCTGGCATTGCAGGAGAATAGGTTGATGATTTTGGGTCCATCTAATCACATTTCCAATGGGGTATGATTATGCACAACTTTCATTGATTTTATCTACAATGTTTCTATTTATGGAAGGTTTTTTATGTATAGAAATAAATTGCCATTTCAATTGGGATGCACCATGTCCAAATGCTTTAATTAATTATGATGATTTGATCAACTACACATTTCTTGATCAAGCATGAGATCACGTCCCATTTCAAACACAATTGTTAATCGTTAATTGGGCCTTAACCGAAAGTGTGTTTCAAGCATCTTCAAAGCTAACTTTGTTCTACACAACATTTGTGTCTTCTAAAATCAAAACTTTTAACATTGCTGTCAACACTCAACTGCAACTTAGGCTCTCTGCATTTCATCTCTCTTAATTCTGTTTCTTGCGTTACGGAAGAATTTGATGCCAGATCTGGACTACTTTCAGGGCTTTTTTGATTTGAGATGATACTTTAATTCTTATTTGAAGCACAACTTTCATTGTTTTTCATTTTTTGGTGAGACACCATGTGGTTAAAAAGCAAGTCATTTATACCTAACAAAAATTAATTACTCAGGTTCCTGGAATGTTAAACCAAGAAACTATGGCTAAGTTAGAGAAGATGAGGGATAGCTATGAAGAATCGAAAAGGGAGAATGAGAAGCGCTTAGAAGAATTGGAAAAGGAGAACGAGAAGCTCAAATCTAGGGTTACTGCTATAGAGACTGATAAGGTAAACTTTTCTCTCTTTGGTCTTTATATCTTCATCTTTTCTATTTATGAAAGGTACAGAGAAGTGTGTTCTTTATCTAGATTTCTAAATTATTGGCCTTATAGACGGTAGTCTCTGATTCTTCAAAATTATATGGACCAATTGTGATACACCATTTTTGATTGTTGATCTCTTAGAGCAAGGATGCAAAGAAGTGATAGAATCTGGGAGGGATGATGACTAGGGAGCAGGCGCGGCTGGTTTCACTCCATATTAAACTTTATGTTCCTTCTGTGTGTTTTTTGTTTTTTCAACTAAATTCTATGGGTTTAAACTTTAAATTCCATGTGACGTTTAACTTTTCCAGTATTTTTCCTTTTTTGGTGTGGATTATATTCTCTTGTTTTGTCTTATTATTAGTTGTTTGACGGATGCTATTACTAAGGTTGTTGAGTGAGGTTCTTTGTCTACATTTCAGTGAATTTTCTGGTGATTGTGTTTGATTGATTGGTTTGAGATTTTTCTCACTTTCTTTAGTTATCCCCCCCCCCCTTTTCGGTGAAGGATTCTGTTTTACTACTATCAATCCATTTACTCTCAATGGTTAAAATTTAGCAAATTCTACAAACAAGCAAATGTTGCACCACAACAATTGGTAGCTCCAGAAATGAAGTCGTTAAAGACATATTACAAGATGATCTATTTGAACTT